CCCACAACAAGGTATCGTGTCCCGGAGCTGATTGTACAGAAAGGCAACATGCAGAACCTTGCTGAGCTGAGCATTGTCTCTGAGGTTTCTCGACTGATCATTGCGTCTTATCCTTCCCCCTTTATAGGTACCGAGTGCCGGAGCTGAATGTGCAGTGCTGAGCTTCCTCTTGCCAAACCTCCCAACCCTTTCTCACCCCTCTCCTGCGTCCCCCTCTTCTCCCACCCACCCACCCCCCCAGGTACCGAGTGCCGGAGCTGAACGTGCAGAACGAGGTGCTCAAGTCGGCATGTTGCTGAGCTTCCTCTTCCCAACCCCCCCAACCCCTTTTCACCCCTCTCCTGCCTCTTCCGCTCTCTTTCGTACATAAACCCCCCTTTGTCCCAGGTACCGCATGCCGGAGCTGAACGTGCAGAATGGGGTGCTCAAGTCAGCATGTTGCTCAGCGTCCTCTTCTCTAACCCCCAACCCTGTCTCGCCCCTTCCCTGCCACTTCCTCTCTCCCGCCTCCCCCCTCCCACCCCCCCAGGTACCGAGTGCCGGAGCTGAATGTGCAGAACGGGGTGCTCAAGTCGCTGTCGTTCCTGTTTGAGTACATCGGCGAGATGGGGCGCGACTACATCTATGCCGTCACGCCGCTGCTGGAGGATGCCCTTATGGACCGCGACCTCGTGCACCGACAGGTGGGTGGGGCGTGTGTGGAATAGGTTGGGGTTAGGGGGTACAATGGGTGAGATGGGGCGAGACTACATCTATGCCGTCACGCCGCTGCTGGAGGATGCCCTCATGGACCGCGACCTCGTGCACCGACAGACAGGTGGGTGGGGCGTGTGCAGAGGGGATGGTGTGCGCATTGCTCTGACAGGTGAGCTGTGTGGGTGGAGGGGGTCGGAAGTGGGGGATACAATGGTCAAGATGGGGCGCGACTACATCTACGCTGTCACTCCGCTGCTGGAGGATGCTCTCATGGACCGCGACCTCGTGCACCGACAGGTGGGTAGGTTGAACTGTATAGCGCAGGGTGTGGGGAGGAATAGTATGATTGTTGAGATGGGGCGAGACTACATCTATGCCCTCACTCCGCCACTTGAGGGTGCTCTTATGGACCGAGGCCTGGTGTATTGAAAGGTGGGTAGTGTATGGGGAGAGTGTGTGTAGGGTTAGGGAGACCCGGCACGAGTTATGTGCCTGTCTCGCTCTCACATGTGCCTTCTACCAACCCTCCTTGGAGTCAAACCCCTGCGCACGCACTTGTTCCTTCATCTGGCAATCTGAATTCCGCCTGAACCACTCATCTCCTCTTTCGCTCTCTTGCGTTTCAGACGGCAGCGTCGGCAGTGATGCACATGACACTGGGAGTGGCAGGGCTTGGTTGTGAAGATGCTCTGGTGAGTACTCTGTCTGTTGGCCAGGCTTGCTATCCACCAGGCTCGTTGTCCATCAGGCTCATTCTCCGTCATTCACATTTTCATGCCTTCACTCACCCGATCTAGATCTGTCCAGCCCTTCTTACTGCACATCTCGTTTGTGTTTATTCCTGATTTTCGCCCGACTGTTACCTGTGCCAAATAACTCATATATTACTGTACCGTTGTTTTCCTGCTTGTTATTGTGCAGATCCACTTGCTCAACCTGGTGTGGCCCAACATCTTTGAGACATCGCCTCACCTGATTCAAGCAGTCATGGGAACCATTGACGGCATGAGGGTGGCCCTGGGCCCTGCGCTCGTTCTTGGATATGTCCTGCAGGTATGCAGCGTTACGTGTTGTCAGCAGCATGTGCCAGGTTTGCTGGGTCGTTCCATTGTTGCATGCATGTGGTTCTCGTGCAAGTGCCTATGAGTGAAATTTGAGGTGGCTTGAGTTCTCTTTCTATAAAGCAATGATTGTATTCCAAACTTGCCTGTCCTTGGTTGTAGAGTTTAATCTTAGCCCCTTTTCTGACCGTTATGCTTTCCATGCAGGGTCTATACCACCCAGCTCGTAAGGTGCGTGAGGTGTATTGGCGTATCTACAACAACCTGTACATTGGTGCACAAGATGCACTTGTGGCTGCATACCCCCGCCTGCCTGACGAGCCGAACAATACCTACACTCGAGCGGAGCTTGACATGTTTATATGATGCACGTCTGTAAAGACCAGAGCTGGTTGGCTGTAGGTGGTTGAACATAAAGCACAAATGCTTGGTGTCAATCATTACTGATCTGTACCATGCTGCTGTCATTCTACAAACCCACTTTGAATGGTAATAGTGTGGAGCAGCTTTCAAAGCTTCAAATAGGAATTTACTGTATTGTGTTATAATCTGCTTGCTCTGTCTTCATGTCGCAAAAACACTGCATCTGTATTCATGTCAAAATCCAGCAGGAACAAAAGTATGTTCATCCGTCAACAGACGTGATGGCTGACAGGCTCAACTCCACACAAGAGGGGCCAGCTCCAGAAGCACAGCGCAGCACAAAATCAGTATCACTTATTGTTGGCTCCTGCAAAGCACCAAAGAATTAAATGAAAGACTGGGTATTTACAATGTGGTCAAGCGAGTGATGATGCAAGAATTGTCATTGGGCTGATTCAGCAGACGTGCTCACCCTTCGTTCTGGAGGCAGCATATTGTGGTGGTGTGCCAAGTTCAACAGCACCATTAAGTACCTCTGTGCTGTCATTGTTCCTGTAGCACTGACCGCGGTGAGGAAAATGAAGTGGCCTCTCAACAAAGGACTGTAATTTTGATGCATTACCTTTTGCCGCAGTTTGTCCAAGCATATTTGTTAGATGATCTCTCCCAAATACTCTTTCTCCGGACTTGACAGCCACAGCAATGTCCTTTTCAACCTTATGTGAAAGTGCAGAGATGCTTGACGGGTCAGATAAATGCTCCTGCAGTGGCAACATAAACACGAGCATTGTGCGTGATGATGACAGCCACATTAACCAGAGTAAAACAATCATCTAACACAAAAACGTACCGGATAAGCATCTCGACTCATCACTTGCTCGATCAGGTCTTGGAGTCTGGGGCGCTTCCCTCGCGCATTACCACAAGAGGAGCTTCCCACAGCTGATGAACCCATGGAACACTGTGGATGAGTGGCAGTAGATTGAGATCCAACTGCCTGTGAACTAGGAGCCGCATGTCCGGTGGACGGAACATTATGACAGGATGCCATAGCAGGACGTACGAGCCCATCGTTAACAGGAGGTGGGACCGTCTCAATTCTTCTGGGCACAGGAACACTGTTGCACAGATCTGCTGCTTTTGGAAAACGGTCAGTCCCAGGCATTGGATGAACGTCAGCGTGCCTCGCATCGTCACGTAAAAATGATGATCCTGGTTGGTCATGGTCAGCGGCAACTGGAGCAGTGAACGAAACTGGATAGTTGCAGTTTCTTGCAGGATCTGGAGCAGATGCGGGCTGGATGTTCGCATGATGGACCCTTGAGTCTCCTGAAGGTCGAATCCTAAATGTAGTATCGACACATGCCTCAGCACTTGGCTTGCAATAAGCCACCACTGGCGTACGTCGCTGAGGCTGATGCATCACAGTTGGACCATCATGATTGGGAGAGTGAACTGGGTCCAGATCCTCCCACCCACATAAATCCCAGAAATCCTGGTCGTTGTGGTCTTCTTCAGGCATCGAAGAACCAGATGGCTCCTGAATTGGGATTTCCAATGGATTGTCATGGTGGTCTTCAACATATTCATGGATTCTTTCCATCTCAGGCGGTGGAAGTTGGAAAGTGTCATCTTCATATACTACAAGTGACATGTCAGATATCTTGGAGCCTGAATATCACAAAAAAATAGTCACGAGGCCAGGGAAGACAAGAATAACAATAAAAACAACATACATGAAACCGTGGAGAAGTCAAGGTCGAAACCCCCCTCAATCTGTAGAGCATCAGGAAAACAATAATATCCAGCGTTTACCACAAATCAGGACCACAACATTTGTACAAAAGTAGCACCATACCACGGAAGGGTCGGTGAACAGCTTTTCACGATACGAAACAATGTCAAATTTTGCTGCACAAGCAAAACAAAAAGCCCTCAATAGAAATTCCAGGAATAAAATTTGCCTTTTAAAGGGAAGTATGTGAATTCATGAAATCGTTTGCTTTCTTTTTGTAACCTGAGCACTTACATCTGTACAGGGAAAGCCTGAACATGTCTCGGTCCATATCGGTATCATCCCACGGATCTGAGGGAATTGGTTCCTCACACTGTTGTGGTGGCATAAGAAGCCTCTCTGCGTCACGAATTTGCCTGCAAATTTGACAAGCGCTTAATCATCCATTTTAAGGGAGAACAGGATGGGCCGTAAGGAATCAAGGAAGCTTTGGCTGCATACACCGATTTCGCACAAGCGTCCTTCATTTACCTGATTTGTCGGGTAGTGCTGCTGGAATCAGCCTCTCGAAACTTTGAAACCACAAGCCGATCGAGGAGAAGGATACTGGGACCCTGCTGAAGTAGGTTGAGAGAGCATGAACAGCTAAATATGCGGCACAAACCTTGAGAATCATACCTTGTCAACTGCTGGGGCCTCCTCAGTTTGTGTCAAGTTATCTGGTGGGCCACTTCCATCCACAGCCATTTCTGCAGCTTGTTCCTCAGATTGGCATTCTGGTGGGCCCATGGGGTCACCTTCTGGCTGGTCCATTGGAATCGGCACCACTTTCTCCAGACGTGATTTTCTTTTACCGAACTGTGGCTTGTACAGACCACAAGCTTGAGTCGCCTCATGATCGCCTGCTTTGACTTGGTTTGCGTCCGGACATTCTGTGATCGGTTCAGGGAAAAGTTCAGGAGGTGCATGCCATTGCTCATGTTCTTGAGGCGGGTGGGGCTCTTCAGCATCCACATGCTGTGCATGAGCTTGGACAGGAACCGCTTGTGGGATCCTTGCAGTCATGGCCTGTCAAGTGTGAGACATTAGTTCAGAGACAGTTGCAGCACACACGACGATTAGCAAAGCACAACTTAGAAGTCTACCTCCTCTCGCAAGTTAGCATTTTCTGCTGCACGAGCAGCCTTCTTCGCTTCATGTTCCTCAACAAGCTTATCCACAAGATCAAAGTCGTCTAAGTCACAAATATCATCAAATTCCTTGTCCTCTCCAGCAGGAGCATCACAGTGCAAGGCTTCCCCATGCACCTGCAGCATCCAAGCATTATCAATACGGAATTAAGGCATGCAGCATACAGATGATGAGTATGTTGCGCAGTGCAGGTGCAGAGTCCTCCAGTTCAATGGCTAACTTACGTCTGGCTCCATACTTGGAAAGGAAGTGTCAGATGCAGCCTGGCCATCAAACAGTGACGGAACTTCAATTGGCGCATCATCTTCAGCAGCTTCATCATCCAATAGGTCTTCCTCAATGGGAACAACGAGGCCTTTATACGGACTTAGATCAAAGTATGTGGGAATGCTTATCTCGGGATAACCATCATCGTTTCCATGCCAGTCAAGCACTCTTCGCAAACAAAGACTAATGGTTAGAGGGTAGACATGCAGATGCGCCCATTAGTGGCTCAGCTTGAAGTTGCCTACCTTGAGATTGTGGATTCCAAGTTCCCCGAGGTGAAAGAGCTTAGGTTGTAACACAATTCGTCCCGCTTGAGAAAAAGGGACGAGTTTTCAGATATTTTACTGATCTGCCAGGGAGGTATACCGTCAGTGTGTGTGGTTTCAACTGATCATGCCGTTGCGGAATATGTCCAAATTATGGTACATCAAACTTACTGCATTCGCCACAGCATCGTCCAGGTTCAATTCCAGAACTCTCTGATCGTTCCTTCGCTGCGCTGGAACGCCAATGAAGCTACCAAATTTACCATGTCTGCTCTTCTCTTCACCGCTCAGTAGTTGCCCATCCCCAAAAATGGATTTGTACCGTTCAAGGTCAGATTCCGTCGATTCTTCCCCATTGACGTTTCGGGCTGTAGAATGTAGACGCTGTTAGCTCTGAGCACGAAAACGACTTGAGTATCGCCACAAGTTCGCCCTGACCTGATTTTGTAGGCTTTGAACCAGGCTCCCTTGCTGTGGTCTTGAGCTCACGAACGGCCTCAGTGGTCTTCTTGGACAGCACATCTGTTGTGAATTGAACACGTCATTGGCAAGAGCCTTCTAGGGTTTCATCAGCCAGCAAAACCTGGATACTCGCGTACCTCGCATTGTCCGAATAAGCTGCACGCATGAACTTTGACGTCAGACGCAAGACGGAAAAGACACTCAAATTATTCATGGGTAGCTTCTTACCTCCGCTCGGACATGAACGTTGGTTGACGCCTCCTCCACGTCAGCCTTTGTAACGACATTTTTCGTTTTTCCCTTGTTATCTGCCTGTAAAAAAAACTGACGTCACTGAACAGTAGGGTGGCCAACTTATCGAGCAAAGTATCCATAGCCTTACAATGTCAAATGGTGCCAAGGCAAGCGAAAGGTACTTCTGATCGAATGGGTTCTTCTTGTGCCTCTTGTGTGCGACATCATCAGCAACTGATAATATTGAATAACGTCGTTCGCCTCCTTCCGCAATTGATGACTGGATTCTATACTTCACCGCAGGTGGCGCCATTTTCCTAGTCTAAGCAGAAGCGGTAGGCCTAGTTTTCAAAAATCTTATGTGAGTCACTGATGCTCCCTATCATGGCTTCAGGAGAGCTCATGCACAGGTAGTGGCTCGAACATCAGTCGCAGTGGTTTCAATCGAGATAATCGCTTCGATAGTTCTCTTGTTCTTCCCCTTCGCCCTACCGTATTTCTGTAGCTTTATTGTGAGTCCGATCGATTGAGGGAACATGAGGATAGAAGATAGCTTTGACTAGGCCTACCACTTCTGAGCTAGAAGATAGCAGACATATGTAAAGCAGGCATGAGGGAACATGCTGTCGTTGTGGCTCGAGATACTCCCAGGGCTAGGGTGAATTTGGCGTTGTACAGTGGGACGAATGTTTGCGTTGAAGTGACACGCGGGGGATCAGGCAAGCGAAGAAAGGTGAGTGGTAACAACGGAGGAACATTCGTACCTTGATGAACAGCGCTGTACAAGGGCTACATCTAGGTTCTCGACATTGTAGTACCTCAATTGGGAGATAAGCAGACCTTATCAAATATGTGTCCTCTATAAGGCGAGGCAAAGTCTAGGTCTAGTTTGCTTTTCAACCCTTACAAAGAGTAAATGCTTTTGACACACTGATATTTCTGGGAATTCTTGTTCTTGACTTAGAACCTTAGAGAGTCACAACAGGAACCTCCTGAAAGAAAAAAAAGTAGACATCTCATATTCCTGAAAAAAAAAGTACAAGGTGCTAAAAGTTAGGTGGTGTGGTGAAGCCAACATGGATTAACGGCATCAATATCCAATAATTGTGTGGCCAGGTGGTGGAAAAGGGCAAAAAGTAATCTCTATTGGCTCCTGCTGCAAGATCCTACCCGGCGGTGGAATCGGAGACACTTCACACGAGTAGGTAAGGAGTCACTGGATTGGGTTAGAAAGGCTATGCAATTTCTGCCATGAAGCCAGGAATGTTGCCACCACCAAAGAATGAATCAAGCGGTCTGATGGCCAATGACAGAAACAGCCGAGTGAGCAGCAAAGGGGCAGTGCTAGAGGATAGTCAGGGTCGGGCAGGCGGGTGGCAGTACGAGGGTTGAAAGAACAGAGTGATATCAGGAGCGAAGGCAGAATCTGCCATGAGGCCAGGAATGTTGCCACCACCCGAGATTGCATTAAGCAGCCTGATGGCTAGTGACACAAACACCATCAGAGAGTGGCAAAGAAGGGCAAAGGGAGCAGCGCAGGAGGAGGAAAGACAGGGATGGACAGGGGGGTGGTGGTAGGTGACAGCAGCAGCCATGGTGGATGAGACGAACATGTGTGAGTGAGCTGGAAAAGAACAAAACAAGAACAAGAACAAGAACAAGAACAAAAACAAACAATCAACACAGACAAACAAACTAAACGAAACAAAAACAGTTGGGAATTCGTTTCTCATGCAAGGCAAGAGAATGGCGGCAGTGGCTGCCATTGGAGTCACACTCTCACTGTAATTGCAATTACTGTAAGTACAAATGAAGTTACAATCACGACACTCCAGGGACCATGAGGAAAGCAGGCACAGTAAATGACCTAAGACGCAACGAGACACCTGTCCATGCACCTGAGGCACACTAAGAGCACCTGCGGATTCACCTGAGGAAGGACTATGGCGATGTAGAGCAAGCCAAGCCTTTCCCTCTGCCCGCTCTAAGGGTGAAGGACCCTGTAAGGTAGAATGGGAGGCTGTATGTCACCTGAAGGGATGGAGGAGATGTGGCATGGTGGATGGTGGGTGGGGGTTACTAGGTGAAGAATCGGCTGTCAGTGTAACAGTTATTGCAAGTCGCATGGCATGCCCTGCCTGCCACCCGCTGCCTCTGGTGGTGATGTTTGTGAGAGAAAACAGGGGGCTGAAGGGACACCAGGGGGGATGTGAGATGGGAGATGGTGGATGGAACAGGTGGGAGGCATAGCACGAGGGACAATGGTTGCAATCCAGCTGCCAGGCCCTGTCCTCTCCCTCGCCCTCCCCCCTCCTTGTGAAGGACGCCGTGAGGAAGAGGAGTCTGTAGGTCACTTGGGATACACGGTGCGCAGAGGATTCAATCTGGTAACAACGTAACAGTTACTGTGGGAAACTTAGATGTAACAATGACATGGACATGATGGTAATACCTTCAATGACCTAAGCCCAAATTTAGCATTGGTCGAAAAGTACCTTCTGAGTCCGCTCACAAGCCCATAATCAGCAACGGATAAAAAATACAGAATGGAAAAAATCAGGTGAACATCACAGGCTCGAGTAACAAGAGCACCATTACCACCAGGCTGACTAACAGCCATGGGACGAGTGTCTAACCGCCATGGGACGAGTGCTTAACCGCCATGGGATGAGTGTCTAACCGCCATGGGACGAGTGCCTAACCGCCATGGGACGAGTGTCTAACCGCCATGGGACGAGTGTCTAACCGCCATGGGACGAGCGTCTAACCGCCATGGGACGAGTGTCTAACCGCCATGGGATGGGTGTCTAACCGCCATGGGATGGGTGACTTCACCTCGTTGGGATGGGTGACTCACCTCCATGGGATGGGTGACTTCACCTCGTTGGGATGGGTGACTCACCTCCATGGGATGGGTGACTTCACCTCGTTGGGATGGGTGACTCACCTCCATGGGATGGGTGACTTCACCTCGTTGGGATGGGTGACTCACCTCCATGGGATGGGTGACTTCACCTTGTTGGGATGGGTGACTCTGATAGAACTGGAACTGAACTGATTACTTGATAAGGAAGGCACTAGACCTTAAGTACATACAGGGTTGGGTTGAGCAAAGCTAGGGAAAGGATGGGATGGGAATCCTAGCAAATCTCCAATTGGTGAGTTGGCAGATTTGCAGGATTACGAGGGAATCCCAACCAGATAGGGTTGGGATTACAAATCTACACCCAACCTACAAAATAACCTAACCGATATAGAATATAGTACAAAGTGTTGACTGACTATTTCTAACACACCCCTTAGGCTGACAACACTTCAGCCACATGGCGGCCCAACACCCATGGACGAGAGGAGACGGTAGTGGTCTTGGCAAACAAGAGACTTGGTAAACAATTTAGCAAGGTTGCAGTCGGAGGCAATGTGTTCAGCCTTCAGCTGCTCGCGCTGCACCAGCTCACGAAGAAAGTAGTGACGGACCTCAATGTGCTTGGTGCGGCCGTGGAAGACGGGGTCCTTTGTGAGATGAATGGTGCTCTCGTTGTCACACCAAAGCGTTGGGGCTGGTTGAGGATACCCAAGTTCTGCCAGCAAGGAGAGCCAACGGGCCTCTTGGGCAGCCATGGTCCCGGCATACAGCTCTACCTCACAGGTCGACAGTGAGACGGAAGATGACCGAGTGGAGCGCCAACTGACAACCCCACTGCCAAGGGTAAAGCAATACCCTTGGGAAGAGCGCCGATCACTCTGGTCATCAGCATAGGACGAGTCACTGTACCCCTCAAGGCGAACAGGGGAAGAGCCGCCAAGAGTGAGCACATAGTCCTGTGTGCCTTTGAGATAGCGGGGGACCCGCTTGGCGGCAGACCAGTGGTGGCTCGTGAAGCGACCAGGTGCAACGTAGCGAGACAGGACACTGACTGGATAGGCCAAGTCTTGTCGAGTGCACATCATCGCGTACATGAGGGAACCGACGAGCTCGGGGTAAGCCTCATCACAAGGCTCAGGTGAGGGAACAGAGGGTGCAGTGAGTTGGTGCTGCAGAGAGAGTGGGGTGGGCGTTGAAGCTGCTTCCTGCATCTTGAACCTGGTCAGAACATTGTTGATGTAGAACTTCTGCGAGAGGGTGATGGTGCGGGCCGTGCGATCACGTGTGATTTCCATGCCCAGATAGTTCGTCAGCTTCCCAAGATCCTTCATGGTCAGCTTCTCACCAAGTGTGGTTTTGACTGCTGCCAGCTCAGTCTGATCCTTGGTGACAAGGATGATGTCATCGACATAAACCAAGATGAAGAAGCGGGATGGTGTTGCTCGGATGAAGAGGCTGGGGTCAGAGGTGGATGGGTGAAAGTCGAGGGACCCTAAGGTGCTCTTGAGCTTGTTGTGCCATTCCCGGGGTGCTTGCATGAGGCCATAGACTGGTCGATTCAGCTTCCATACAGTGCCTGGTGGAAAGGGAGCTGGAAATCCTTCGGGCCGCTCCATGTAGATTTCCTCTCGAAGGATCCCTTACAGAAACGCAGAGGACACATCCATGCAGTCAACCTCCATGTCATCTCGAGCGGCAACATCGAGAAGGGTGCGCAGTGTGGGAGGTTTGGCGGTGGGAGAGAATGTCTCAAAGAAGTCCAGTCCATGCTTTTGAGTAAATCCCTTGGCACAGTACGAGGCTTTGAAGACGGGAAATTCGCCTGGAAGTTGTTTCACTCGGAAAACCCATTTTCCCTTCACAATGTTGACGCCGGAGGGAGCAAAGACATCTGTGAAAGTTCCTGTGTGAATGAAGGCCTCACACTCTGCGACAATGGCCCCTAGCCACTGAGCGGCGTGAGGACCAAAAACTGCTTCAGCATAGGTGAGAGGTGTGGGGATGGAGGGGTTGTCCGAGAAGTTGAGGGTGGGAGATTCTGCGATATCTGGAAAGAGGGAGCAGAGTGCGTGTATGGCTGAGTCAATCTCAATCAACTCCTCATGTCTGTCCTCAAGAAGGGAGGGCATGAGCGAATAATCACCCCCGACAGGAGGAGGATTGAGAGAGACACGAATGGAAAGGGAAAGAGGCTTGGGAGTTTTGCGCGAGC